CCTTTAATCAAGAGTAAAGCTCACTCTAATGCCTGTCTCTTATACACATCTAGATGTGTATAAGAGACAGATTGCTTGACTAACTGACTGACTGATTGATTGACTGATTGATTGATTGATTAACTGGTTGATTGATTTATAATTTATTTGAACGATTTAATTAAATGATTATTACAGAACATAGCATAATGAATGAACGAATAATTGAATATATGTGAGAATAAGTAGGAATGAACTGATTGAAGGGATATTTTGGTGAATGTATGGCTAACTGACAGAAGATTAATAGAAAAATTATTGATATATTAAAGAGAATATTTGCCATAGCCGCATATAGGCCTATTCTATAAATAATAAAGGAATTTGGATATAAAACCAAATATATTTTGATGTGAGTTTGCGTCAGGAAAATATCATAGGAGTGATATTGATTTATTAAAGAGAATAGTTACCATAGCCGCATTACTCATAGGAGTGATGTTTTGCCCTACTGACGTGTTATCAAACCGAATACCCAGTATAGGCTCCAAAATACTTGCGAAAAATTTGGTTGGAAATCGAACACACGACCTCCAGTTAACTAGCCTGGAAACGTACTTTTGTTAAGATAACACGTCAGGCAGGGCAAAACATTACTCCTATAAAAAAAACCAAAAATATTGTAGATTTAGGACAATACACTACTTGAACAGTCTATGATATCTTTAGCGTCGAGCAATACCTAACCACTGAATTTGTAAAAAAATAAAAAAATAAAAAAAATTAAAAGATATAAGCACTACTGTGCTGCCACGCCACAGTCAACATCCTACTTCAACAAACACACGATAAATCAGAATAAATATTTTGACAGTAAATTAAATCCCGGCTGAAGATTACATTATCCGTCTGTTACTTGTTACTGTTGCTGTATATAATCATAACAACATGCTAATTATAATGGCGTTCAACGAAAAATCACTCAAATTGAAGCATTAAAATAAGCTGACGAGATTCGTTACATATGTATTGTACTAAATTCATGACAAGGGTATTACTGGCGTGCGTTATTAAGACTGTTATTAAACGCTTATAATGTTTGATTTGACTGATATGCCGTGACGTTTGGTTCGTCAAGAGACGCGTCTGAAAGCAACACTGACTGCAACGCAGTTCTTATATTATATGAATTATAAGAACTTAACATACGCACGCGTTCGGCATTAGAGATTTTTGTCAATACAATCTTATTCTGTGTTGTGTATGTCTGTACCCCCTTATACTACCAATAGGCATTTCAATGATTTGCATTTCTTTTTCTCTTCAATGTGTGTGCGTTATCCAATACATATTCGGTAAAATTTCAATTATCAACTACACAAATCAATTTTTATGTGGCCGTGCTCATGCTTATCAATTTTCGTGGCGTGTACAACCTACTTTTAATTAAATGTCTCTCAAGCGAGCTGACATTGTATTTTATATATATTTTAGGCTTACAAAAACAAATCATATGCCTACTTGCAAGCCAGTTTAAACAAGTGACCTCAGCGACTGAATAAGCAATATTCTTTTTTTTATGTTATTGCTAACAGTTAGAAAGTTCAATACAGGCCTTTAATCAAGAGTAAAGCTCACTCTAATGCCCGTACACGCACGAAACACAAGAGGACTGACGCGAAGTGACAACAACGGCTGTCCCTCAAACATCTCATTCCATCCACAGAAAAAAATAAATAAATTTAGGTGCGTCCGCAGCTTGCGTATTATACCGTAGTTCAGGCCGCAATATTTTGATGGGGGTATTTTTTACATGCGCTTACATCGGGTCGAAATTCATACGTTCGCCCCAAAAATCGACTCTGGCGACAGTGGCGTATGCGTAGCTTCTTCAGTGACAAAACAGGTCCACATTTTGCGGTTGTGTGAGCATAGCTAAACTACATGTGTTTGTCTCAAGTCGAAACATATACTTAATAATAATAATAAAGAATTCATTTAGACAAAGTTACAAACACATAACACAGCGTGTTCATGTTAATATTAATATGTGTGTATAAAAATGTAACTAGGCCTATTATAACATGTTAAGTTACATATTGGAGTGAGGTATGGTTGACACTTAAGTAGTGTACAGACGCGTTGGTACCATGGTTGGTACAAACACAATGAACGCTACTAGTACTACTACTTGGTGTAATAGCGTTACTTGCGTTACAACGCGTCATAAATGGTATAGCGTAAACTAAGCTTATAGTGACGGTTAATGGTTTACTTAAGATGAACGTCTAGCTTTTAATCAGTTCGTTACTCGGCGCCAATTGTATTAATGTGTTTATTGCACAGTTGTGTTTTTGTCATCAGCACAAATTAATGTTTTCTCACTGTAGGCCGGGCACAATGCACCCGACTGCTGTCGGCTGACGCGATTACGACGTGCGCGCAACGGATCGTTTTGAATGACGAACCACTCAGTTCAGTTAAAAATACTACTGTAACTCAGACTGTCACCGGTTAGATCAGCTCGCGTCAAGGCCATACGACAATCTTACAACAGAGAGCGTACCGGCTTTAGTTAATTACAGTTCTCCCTGCTTGCCAAAGAAGTGATAGTTCTGTGACAGTCATTCTGTAAATCCAGTTTTGGAAAATCTCAAATTGAGAATTTTTACAGACATCGACATAATTTCTCCATTGTAAAATGACGTCATATTTTGATATGCACATCTTTGATACAAATAGTCTTTGCTTGGCAAGCATGGATGACCAAAGTGCCGGAAAACCTCGTGCAAAATATAAAAAAGAGGATAGAACTAGGGAAAAACTCAGAAGGTAGGAAAA